TTTTCTCCTAGCAATAATATTAGGAGTTATCTTTAAAAATAAGTTGTGAGCTGGAGCCCTGGGTGGCTCAGTCAGTTAGGCAGCCAACTTCAGCTCAGGTCACGATCTTGTGATTCGTGAGTTTGAGCCCTGCATCGGCCTTTGTGATAACAGCTCAGAGCCTGGAGCCTGATTCAGATTCTGTCTCTCTCTCTCTATCTGCTCTCCTTCTCTCTCTCTCTCTCTCTCTCTCAAAAATAAATAAGCATTTTTAAAAAATTAAAAATAAGTTGTGAGCGAAAGCTAAAGTATATTAAAAGATAAATTGAGGCATATTAAAACTTTTAAGAGTTTATCTGAGCAAAAATTGATTTGAATCAGACAGCACCAACCAGAAGTTGTTAGGAGTACCCTGCCTTATATAGAGAAAGTGTGGAAGTGAAGAAATGCTCGGCTACAGCTTAAATCCTAGTTGGCTCTTTGTAACTGGTTGCCTTAGTGTTTTGATTTTGTAACTTTGAAGCATTTACAGGCTTACATCTTGGTTTGCTTACCGTGACAGTGGAGTCACCTCAGTGTAATGGGCTCCTTGTTTAATTAATATTACAGGTGGTAATCATATTGCAATATATAAACATGTCAAATCAACATTTTGTACATCTCAAACTTACATGATGCTATATGTCAATTTATCTAGTAAGAAAATCTTTTTTGAAACATGTTAAAAAAAAGTCATGAGATTCACCTGGCCTACCAGATATTAAAACCATTTAAAATCAATAATAACTAAATGGGATATTAGTACAAAAATATATGCCTTGTTCATTGGAATAGAACAAATAGATTAAAATTTCACAAACAAAAGGAGAGACAACAAAGCAATGTGAAAAATGAGGATTAAGAAGGCACGTAGATAATTTGGCTTAGCCAAAAATTTTAAATTTAGAAAAAAATAAACTTTGATGCAAATATACACCAAATAAAATAATACATAAATTTAAATGGAAAACCTCAGGAATAGTTTGGTTACGTATCAGATATCTGAAAGAGGAGATAAATGTCTAAGTTTAGAAACAACACAGAAGAGATAAAAAAGATGAAGCATATATTTTAAGTACAAGTTTTCAACTGTGGTATGTCAAGTAAAAAAATATAAGTAATCATTTTGACAGTTATTTTTAGAAAAATACCTAGAAAAGATACACACTTCTGTATATTTGTTCATATCATATTATGTTAATTATATCTTGATTCGAATTAAGATCCCACTTTTTAAATTACCAACCTAAAACAAACTAAAAATCACCCAATATAAACTACAAACAGCAAACAAGTTGTAGAACAATGTGAAATCTAGCTACTACCAAAGAAATGTAAAATAAAGAGCTGTTGTTTTTACCATTAAATTACCAAAGTGTTAAGTGATAGCCAGTTAGTTGATTCTTGGAATTTTATTTTAACAAACTAAATCAAAATAATAATACCAAAAAAACCTATGTGTAGAAAGAAAGTCATCACTCCATTATTTATAATAATAAAAAATTGTTAAGTTCAAAATAACTGAAGAGTCAGAATAATATGCAGACATTAACAATAAAGTTTATGAAGAATATGTAGTAGAATGAAAAAGACCATGTTATAATACAAAGTAAAAAAATCATATACCCATTTTACATGACTACAAGGATATAAAAACCATAAATGACTAGAAGAGATTATATAAAGATAGTTGTTAAATCATGGCGACAAAATTATGGATGATTTTCCTGCTTCCAATTTTTTAAAAATAATGTTGTATATGTTTTGGTAACACTGTGTATCTTCCCCTTTACGTTTGCTTTAGAGATGTTGGCCTGAGTGGATGAAAAGCATTATGTTTCTTCTATGAATTACATAATGTCTGTAAATTTTATAATATTGTAGAAAACTATAATGACATTAAGGATAAACAGCATAGGTGCACCTGGGTGGCTCAGTTGGTTAAGCATCTGACTTTAACTGAGGTCATGATCTCGCGATCGGTGAGTCCAGCACTGCATCGGGCTCCATGTTGGCAATGTGGAGCCTGCTTGGATCTCTCACTCTCTTCTCTCTCTCTGCCCCTCCCCTGCTTCTCCCCATGGTTTCTCTTTCTCTCAAAATAAAATAGATAAATTTAAATTTTAAAAAAGGATAAATGGCATATTTTCCCTACTTAAATCATAGAATTGGAATATTGATTATGAAAGAATTTCAAAGGCACCATCCCTCCAGCTGCATCCATACATCTTTGAAAGATGATTTGACCTTTAAGAACAAAGCCTCTTAGAGTTAGTCAGGAATTTTCTAGAATTGATACCTTAAAAAGTTTACTTCCTAGTGAAACCTTATTATCGCAAGAAGGAAAGATTATCACAGTCCACAGTTATACAAGTCTTATTTCAAAATATCTTCCAGTAGCTGGTGCTATAAAAGATGTGCCATATTTATTTCATGATGGATAGTCCTCAAAATATTGCTCTTCTGCATTATGTTATCACTTTATCAAAATTCAAAGGCTGTATGAGTAGAAAGCTATATGGCTCTAATCATATCTTAAATTTTCATGTTCAACATGCAGCTGTATAAACCATAGGGAATCTCACTGAAATGTCCTCTAGCCGTTTTAATGCAGATGGCAAAACATAAACACTTTGTTACATAAATAGACACTGTCACGGCTTCATGACAGAGAATGATGCAGAGTCAATCTGTAGAATCATTCTACGTGTGCTCCTCAAGTGGGAGGCAGGGAAACCTTCCGTATAAAAACAGCTTAGAACCACATGCTTATAAGAAAGAGTTCAATGGGTATCCAGCTGTAATTTCCTGTTTTACATGGAGCCTGCATTTCTTGGCTTGGACGAAGTATATTATAAATCTCTTTGTCTCAGTCTTCCTAGATATAATGAAGCAAAGGAGTGGGTGTAATACAGCGGGAGTGTGTGCTTTGAGTCCACAGGAGTTGTTCCATTTTGTTATAGAAAACAAAGCTTGTGATAGCCTCCAAATGTTTAATTAAAGCAGGCTTAGAGAAGCTGTATACAGCTGCGTCCTCTGCCATGAGGCCTTGGCCTGTAGAGCCCACTAGACACTGGCAAAGCCTTTGCTCGGTAGAGCAGTCCTCAGAGGACATCCTGCCCAGTTCTGTGTCTCCATTTTCCTCTTTTCTCAGGTGACTCAATCCTGTGTCCTCACATCCCTGAGTACAGGCAGATCAGTAAGTGGTTCAAGTCATCAAGCTCTTGGTAAAGCAAGCCAAGTTAAAGGGATCCAGAAGAAACATTGTTCGTGTTGCATACAGGGTGAAGCCCTATGTTTGTGCACGCATATTAATCAGAACACTATCGTAATCTTATTGGTAAGAGCACAATTTAGAAGACTTTTTTTAAAGATTTTATTTCTAAGTAATCTCTGCACCCAACATGGTGCTCGAATCCACCACCTGAAGATCAAAAGTCACATGCTCCACCAACTGAGCCAGCCAGGTGACCCTGGAAGATATTTTAGAAATAAGTTTATTGAAATGTTGCTTGTTCTTTTCTTCCATTGTAACGTTTAAAAGGCTTGGCCATTTTTTGCATCATTATGACAGTAGTCCTGTGATTTAGGCTACATTCATAGTAAGCAATTAAGGCATGTCAATTTCCAATTAGAATCATGATCGTGATGATAATTCAACTACTGCCAAATCATCAGAGGGGTTGCTCAGATGTTGCAGAATGATTGGTTCTTGAAGACATAGAGTACATAAGGGGTGCTTCTCTTCCAACCCTCGACATGGGATTGGCACACTACAAAATAGACATCCATACAGAGTCGTGATAAAGTGTATTAAATATGATTTAAAACACACTGACATATATTAACAATAAAAAATTAAGAAAATTTTTCAAATAATACTTTGAAAACGAAATTCTTCATTCCTATTCACAAACGTGCTTGCCTAAAGGGAGAAAAACCCTCACTTTTTTTCTTATTCCTATAATGGTTCCATGACCTTCTGAGTTGCAGGAGCTCAATAAAGGGTGCCCAATACCTGGACACCTTCTTTCACTCTCCATCTCTTTCTTCACCTACCCAGTCATCAAGTAAGCACTCAGCTGCTCAAGATCTCTTCTGATTTTTTCACTCAATGCCATGACTCCCTTACACTCTTTCACATATGCTATTACATCATTTCTCCTTTCCTTCTGCCCACTTCAATCCATACGGCTGAGACAATCACCTTCCCAAAGCATATTTACCAGCATATTAATATATATATCTGTTGTGCCTGGGTGGCTCCATCAGTTGAGCGTCCAACTTCGGCTCAGGTCATGATCTCACGGTTTGTGAGTTCGAGCCCCACGTCAGGTTCTATGCTGACAGCTCAGAGCCTGGAGCCTGCTTCAGATTCTGTGTCTCCCTCCCTCTCTCTGCCCCTCCCCCACTTGTGCTCTGTCTCTCTCTGTCTCTCAAAAATAAATAAATGTAAAAAAAATTTTAAATATATATCTATATATCTATCTATCTATATCTATCTATCTATATATCTATATCTATCTATCTATCTATCTATCTATATATATATATATCTGGTAAATGCACATCACACACTCCTTATGTGATATTCAGAGCCCTCCATGATGATGCTACAATCGGATTCCTCAACACTTTTTCCCATTTCCACCCTCCACGTACTTTTTGCTTTCAACAAAAGTGTTCTTCTGCTTCTGTGCTTTTGCTCAGTCTTGAATTAGCCCCTAGTCTTTAATTTATCTGCCCTTTCACATATTTCCAAGAAACTTCCCTAAGCAGCCAATTCTAAACATTTTGGCCAATGGCGCCATTTTTTATAGCACCTACCCTTTCATATACATGCATCTTCAACCAAATAAAACTAAGATTTTTTTCAGACAAAAATGATGTCACCTCCCAAAGTGCTCAGTCCAATGGCTGAAACATAGTAGACACTTAAGTATTTGCTAAATGTCTGACGCCCTTTACCTTTTCTTTTTCAGTGGCACCACCACCCTATAGTTATGACCATGAGATGGAATACTGTGCCGACTTGCCGCCTCCCTACTCTCCGACCCCACAGGCTTCCGCGCAGCGTTCTCCACCCCCTCCTTATCCTGGAAATTCAAGAAAACAGTCCTTCTCCCAGAACAGAATATGTGCCAATCAGAGATCTTGCTTGGAATAAAAGGCTTGCTCTAAGGAATACATTTTTGGGTGAAACAATATGTCGAGTGGAATGTCCAGGCTAAGAAACACTGAGTTTTTATCCTTCTCTGAGCTGACCCCATCTGACGTACTGTTCGATTTGATGGTATCATATTTGAAGAGATGTACCAGTCAATGTAAGCACATTCAGAGAAGAGTAACAAGATAGACAAAACATCTGAAAATCATGTTGCTTAAGGAAATTGCAATACTGATCCTGGAAAAGAGAAGAATTAGGAAAGACAGGAGGACAGCCTGGACTACCTAAGGAGACAACTATATTCTGCGTTGCTTTAAAAGTTGGAACAAGAATTATTCATTCTTTCATTCATCAATAAATACTATTCAAGTGCCTAAGAGCTCACTCTGTGTCTTCCACTGTTTGTGAAGCACTGGATGGAAGCTACAGGAACTTTGGTTTCTGGATGAGAACAAGGAACTTTGGTTTCAGTATAAGAAAGAGGAGTTGGAGCTTCCTTATTCACTAGATTGTTTTTTGAAGTTCTCTATTACCAAGACTTCAAACAGAATCTGTCTATCTGATAGAGACATGCTGTAGAAAGGACAGCTAAATCAAATGGTAGATGGATCCACTGGGCCCCAAACATTCTGTTCATGTTTTAGGTAAGTGTGAAGTAAGTCTCTATGCCTCCAAGAATTAAAACAACTGGAAGAGTTGAATCTTCTCTATTTAGTTTGACAGCTAAAACAAGATCAAAGGGACTCAACAGCTGCTTAAAGCCAAGTGCTAGCTACTGCTATCTAAAAATCATGTGACTTTAAGTAGTGTTTTATTATGAAAAAGGTTATTCCACTGTGGGGGGGGGGGGACCGTATTGAGTTCCACAAGCAACAAATACTTCTCTTCAGATTAAGAGATTAGAAGCCAAATATTCCCATGGGATTTTACATCAAGGAGTAGACTCGTAGAACTTGACAAAAAAGATATACAACAATTTACAGAAAGAAGAGAGGAAAATAGAATTTGGATTCTGTTCTGTGGAATTCCATTCATATGTAGCTTAGTCAAATTTGTTTCCCTTTTCTTTTGTAATACTTTAAAAACCTACTCCCTTGAAAAAGTTATACAGTTAATAGAAAGGTTACGATAGTGACACCAAACGGTTGCCTTTTGCCAAAATCCAAATGTTACGAAGTGCCTACCTTCAACTATAAAAGTTTTTACTAAATAATTCTAATGTGCCATATTTTGCTGCAAGTAACCTTAGCATTTATATTTTTATGTGGGTCCTTTCATGTTTTTAAAATTTACATTGACAAAATATTGGGGGAGAGTGATGTCACCAAGATGGTGACCTACATCATTGCTGAATTTGCCCCCCCTCACAAGAAGAACAAGTAACAACTATCCAAAACAAGACACCACTGAGAGAATCCTAGAACACAGGAGTGAGGCTGAAGCACCCTCCTGAACTTCAGAGACCAAGACAGACTATAGTAGAGGGGTAAGAGAAGTGACTACATGTTGACTGCATTGCCCCTCCCTCAGGACAGTGCAGCACCATGGGAAGAGATGTCTCCTGAGCCTCCAGTTCCTCCAGTGGAAAAGAGAACCCAAAGGAGGACAACTAACTGCCCCCCCCCCCGCCCCAGGATGGTGGATCACTCTGTGGCAACCCCTACTCTGATCTCATACCACTGGAATTGCAGGGCTCAGCCACTGTAAATATAACTGTGACACAGAATGAGGAGGAGCTTGCAACAAACAGCCCATGGATGTTGGCAGACCAAGTTCATACTGGCGGTGCCCAAATAGTAATCTCAACCAGGGGCTTTGCTCATCTGTAGAGCCAAGTTGGGACACACTCTGATCAGGGAACCCAGAGGTGTGCAGATCTGCCTTATTCACATCCTCAAACAAGAAGTTCGCCAGCCCTACAGCCCAGTTTTCTCACACCCAGGAAGGGTACTGAGTCACAGCCCCACCAACTGTGGAGATTGCCTTCAGCCCCATCTGACCAGAAGGGCTAGAGACAATTCCTGGAAGCTACGTGACCGAGTGACACTTGAGCTGAAAGAAGAGCAGACAGAGGTGATAGTTTGCAGAGCCAATGGCCTCATTTGGCCAGGGAACTTGTGGTGTGGGTCTGCTTGAGTTAAGGCAACAAAGAGCTTTAGTGGTTTTAGAGCTGCTCCTCTTCTTGCATCCAGGCAGGGAATCTAATTCATAGCCTTGCTTATTGCTGAAGACAGCCTGCAGCCTATCTGAGCAGGGAACTTAACCAGAGCACACAGGAAGCTGCATAGCCCATCTAACAGCCCTACATACTGTGGGACTCGAAGAGAGTGCAGCCCTTGGTTTCCTCCATCTGCACAGCATCACCTGACAAGGGAATTCAGTGGACACTCAGGCCTGATTTGTGCCCCAAACAATGATTTGTATGGGTCCTGAGCCCTGGCTGCTGCCCTGCCAGAGCAGAGAAGCAGGTAAGATAGCTCCATCTACTACTGAATATAGACCCAGTCCCAAACATCTAGTAAGTCTGAGCAGAGAATAAGACAACTGAGGACCCCATCCTATAGCTTCATATGGATAGGGAACCAAGCCAGCAATCATATCCAAGTATTTTCAGCCAGTGGTAAACACACTCCATCCCTCTCTTCAGTGTCTGAATAGATGCCTTGCCCAAAGAAGTCCATAATAGCAGGTCCCACCTGCCCAAAGGCATTCCCACAGACACACCCACCTAAAATGAGCTGACTACTGAAGAGCTATCTCTGCCAAAACAAACCTGTAAAGTCTGGAAAAGGAGGTTAATTACTCAAATGCTCAGAGCTGCCTGGGTGGCTCAGTCAGCTAAGTGTCTGACTTCAGCTCAAGTCATGGTCTCACAGTTTGCGGGCTCAAGCCTCACGTCAGGCTCTGTGCTGATAGCAAAGCGCCTAGAACCTGCTTCAGATTCTGTGTCTCCCTTTCTCTCTGCCCCTCTCCAACTCTCTCTCTCTCTCTCAAAAATAAGTAAACATTAAAAAAATTTTTTTAATTACTCAAATGCTCAGATACCTATGCAAGAAATTAAGGCTCATGAAAAATCAGGTAAATACGTCACCACCAAAGGAAACAAATTAAGCCCCAGTGACTGACCCTAATGAAATGGAAATCTATAAACTATCAGACAAAAAATTCAGAATAATACTCCTAAGGAAGTTTAGTGAATGACGTGAAAGCAGAGACAGACAACTAAACAAAATTAGGAAAACAATGCAGGAACAAAAAGAGTTTGACAAAGAAATAGCAACCAGCAAAAAATAAAAACAAAAACAGAAATCCTGCAGTTAAAAGATACAATAAGTGAACTGAAGAATTCAATAGAGAGTTTCAAAAGTAGACCTAAACATGCAGAGAAACAAATCAGCAACCTGAAGGATAGGGCATTGGAAATTACCCAGTCAAAGGAGAAAAAAGAAATTAAAACGGCAAAGAAAACCCTATGGAAATTAAAGGATAATGAAAACCAACAATATTTGCATCATAAGAATTCCAAAGGAATAAAAGGAGAAAGGGACAGAGAGTCTACTTAGAGCAAAAATGGTTGAAAACTTACTGAACTTGGGGAGATAAATGGATATCTAGATCCATGAGGCCCAAAGGATCCCAAATAGGTTGAACCTAAGGGTATAGGGCTACTCTAAGAGACATTATAATTATATTGCCAAAAATAAAAGGCAAACAACAACAACATTTAATAGCACCAGGAGAAAAGAGAACTTACATACAAGGAACCCCCCATATGACTATTGGTAAATTTCTCAACAGAAACTCTTCAGGCCAGGAGAAAATGGGGTGACATACAAAATACTAAAAGAAAATAACTGTCAACAAAAATTCTATACCCAGAAAAGCTGTCCTTCAAAAATGAAGGAGGGATAAAGATTGTCCTGAACAAACAAAAGCTGAGGGGGGTTCATTACAACCAGACCTATCTTGCAAGAAATGCTAAAGGGAGTTCTTTAACTCCCCTTATAATTAACACAAAAATAAAAACACAAAAAGGTAGCATGAATCTCACTGACAATGGCAAATATATAGTCACAATTGGATTATGCAATATGGTAATAGTGATACACCATTCACAACTCTAGTTTAAAAATATTTTTTAAGAATGTAGCAAAAATAACCATAAATACAATAACCTGTTGTTATTTGCACCATATAAAAAAACCATAAATTGTAACAACAATAATCTAAAATGTGAGAGGCAGAGGGGAGCCTAGGAGGCTCAGTTGGTTAAGCATCTGACTTTGGCTCAGGTTATGATCTCACGGCTGGTGAGTTCGAGCCCTGCATTGGGCTCTGTGCTGGCCGCTTGAAGCCTGGAGCCTGCTTAAGATTCTGTGTCTCCCTCTCTCTCTGCCCCTCCCTTGCTCGTGCTGTCTCTCTCAAAAATAAATAAACATTAAAATGTGAGGGGCCGAAATAAAAATGTAAAGTATAAAAATTCTATTTAAGTTATTAATAGGTTTAATATAGGTTTAAAATAGTGTTATAAGTTAAGATATATTATGCATGCCTCATGGTAACCACAAGGGAAAATCTTGTAGTAATAACACAAGAGAACACAATAAATGAGTCAAACTATATTGATACAAAAAAAAAAAATCAAACACACACACAAAAAAGACAGCAAGATAGGAAACAAGGAACAATGGATCTACAAAAGAATGAGAAAAAAATTAGCAAAATGGCAATAGTAAGCCCTTACCTATAAATAATTACAATAAATGTAAATGGATTATATTCTTCAATCAAAAGAATGGCAGAGCGGATAAAAAAATTCAACAATATCAGCCTTAAAAAAGGCTCACTTTAACCTTAAATAAAAGAAAAAAAAGGCAAGTATAGCTACACTTATATCAGACAAAATAAACTTTAAAAATAATAAAAAAGAGTCAAAGAAGGTTATTATGTGATGATGAAGGAATCAATACATCAAGAAGATACACAATTGTAAATATTTA